TAAGGGAAGGTTATTCGGAAAAAATACTGTTGCAGGTGTCCAACACATTTTTCACTCTGTAGTAGTAGCGCTGATCCAAAAGTATGCAACAAAGTAGCCATACGATCAGCTCGCGGTCAGTCGTGCGGGAGGCATCCGGGCCAGGGCAGTGACCACCGACGGCGGACAGGAGCAGGGCCCAGATAAGGAACATATGGCAGATGGGCCTCGTGGCTTGGTTCTTAAAAGCAGTGTGAGCCATCGATCCACTCTCAAAATTCTCACTAGCCAATGTCCAGGCCGTACTTTGGCATTTACACTGTGGAGGTAGATGCCTCCCCAACGGCCCAAAATGCCTACCCGCTCGTGCAATTTAGCTCTCCCAGGAGGGATAATGTTAAAATGGACGAATAATCTCGGGAGCTGGATAGCCTTATTTGCCAAATGACAGATAAGTCGAATAGGCAAGATTGTGCACCAGTGAGAAACAGCTCTAGATGCATATCTAACGTAGCAGCCATGACATTTGAATAAAGAGCGATGACAATCTCCATCTCTGCCCCCTCTCGCCGGTCATCGGGCTCGCTTTCCAGAAAAAAAATTGCTGAAGTACACCCTGAGCTTGGCCACCCACCTTTTGAAACGTTCCTACGCCTTTGATTGAAGCATATATGACAAGCTTGGTGAGGTTTTTATGACAGTCCTTTTTCTTTCGATTTCGGCAAAGAAGCCTGGCATGAGCTAGTTCCATGAACCAAAACGCGCAAGTGTCATCGGCGTGTCGCATGTGCGATCATAGTCTTATATGTCATATAACTGGAAGAAAAGATGAATCCAGTCATAGCATAGATAATAATGTCGAGCAGGATGACAGTTTAAATACTATCACTACACGCAAACACACTAAAAGGTGACAAGGAATGCAACAACTTGTAGGAATACTCCGTCTAGGGAATGAATAGGGTCGGTATAGTGAACATAATCGAGGAAAACTTGATAGCATATCATTCTTCGGCGTCGCACTGAGTGCTTCCTGACTGTTTCCAAGAACCATCTCACATATTTGACAACAGCCTGGTGTTCTTCGCAATATCAGTGCACGACTTGAGCGCATAGCTACATGAAATAGCCGTGCACCTCCCCTAGCTCTAGTATTTGTTTTCTTTCATCTCTCTTTCGAAATGAGGCTTAAACCAAAGTTGTACATGAGATATATTGACAAAATTTGCTACATCGGAGCCTAGGAGACTGACTGGCTAGCTTTCTTTGCTAAAATTACAAACGCTATCCAAACATGTCTGTCGTACCGGTACAGAGCGCTCAAAAAAGTTGATTGCTTCCTCGACACCTTATTTGTAGTACTGCTAGATGGGACCTAAGCCATAACAACACGCTTCAAGCCCATGGTGCCTCGATTATACTACACTTCGCGTCGGCACGCCCATGACTAAACAACAAGCAGCCATGAAACCTCAATTATTAAGAGCGTTGCACGTTTCTTCTGGCCTTCAGTCGTGTGAGCATAATGCGTTTGAAATTAAATTAAACGGAAAGTGCTTCTCGTTTTCCACGACAATATATACCTGCAAAAACGGGTGTCCATCGCCGCCTGTATTGCGCCTCCTCGATGTGATTTCTCATCACGTCCAAAAAGAAGCCGTAAAAATTCGAAATAAAAGCATTCTTCGTATGTGGAACACGTCTTTATAGATCACGTCATGTGAGAACAGGGATATACCGCGCTACCACTGCACGGCGGAATGACTGCAAACAGGGGCGGGTCCAGTATGTTGTGAAGGGGAGGGGGGAGCACGCAACATTGTGGTGCCCCCTAGAGTTTGGGGTCCTCTCCAAACAAATTCTGCCATCAAATTTTGAGATAAAAAGGATATGTACGTGACATCCCTGGCTTTTTAGCCAAAGTAGTGATAGCTTTAAGTTGTTTCTTTTTTTGCTCTTTTTAGCCCTCGTTTTCTCAAGGCTACACAGCATAACATGGGTTCCAATACTTACATTATTTATTTTCCGCATAAATGTGCATACATATATATATATATATATATATATATATATATATATATATATATATATATATATATATATATATATATATAAATATATACATACATACATTACATGTGTATATATGTATATATACATTCCACACACACCACACACCACACCATAGATATATATATATATATATATATATATATATATATATATATATATATATATATATATATATATAAATGCATATATATACATATATACATTATATGAATATCTGTGATAGTAAATACGGGACCCACGCAAGCAATATGCATGAGCTTAGTCCTTATCCTGATTTCATTCTAGTTGACCGCCCCAGGAAACCCTAGTGTTCCTTTTGAAGGTAAAAGCTCCTCACGTATGCGCCAAGGGATTGAAAATGAAATAAAAAAATGGGATAAGACATCAAATCTCCAGGAACTTAAGTACAGGGACAGTTTAGGTGGGACAATCGAAGCGTAAGATTTCAGGCCGGTTCATTGGACACCTCAGTGGCGCAAGTATACAGAATGTGCGCATATCGTTGCGAAGAAAACAAGACAGGTAAACACGTTAAGTATACCTAATGTCGAATTAAGCAATCGCATCGCGCGCGTTGTTTTGATAGATGCAGCATTGCACAAGAAACGCTAGTTGTAAACAATACATTTTAACGTCAGGAGACAAGCGTGCATATATTTAAAATTGTTGCGCGCAATCGTCAACTTTAATCGAGGCAAGTAAGCACGCATCATCTTGGGACGTCACATGAGCAGCGTTTTTCATGTGAAGTGCATTTAGAAATGGTGCTTTAGTCATTGTCTTGAACACCTTGACCTTATTCTTGATAGTGGTCATCTATTACATCAGATTTAACCGTCCGTGTTTCGATCAGCTTTCTGCACGTGCTGGATATGGGGTGTTTCTTTAATACCATATTGAAGAGCATTCGCCCTCATTCAACGATATTCACTACTGACCACGAAACATTTTTGACGTTAGCTTGCTTTTGCTGAAACCCCATCCCATAGTAACCACAATGCTAGTGTATGATGCCAGAAGCGATTACCCTCGAGCTTATATGTTATTTGAAGTTGTTTGAACTTGTTAACCCGAACTTATGATGTCTGCATTATACTGACAATTGAGCAGTCAAGATCGGCAGCCAGAATTGCCCACTGCTGGTGTCGATTTCGACAATTATATTTTCGGGCATAGCGCGGCTATAATTCCGTTTCATATTCCGCCTGCTTTCAATGTTTTTTAGCAGCCCAAAACGCAGGCAAACCTTACCGGGCCCAACTTTGACGATCAGCAACCAATGCTCGGCGCGGCGCCTCCAGCCGGCTCCATTGCGTCGTGGAGCGGACATGGATCTGTTACTAAGCTAGTAATCCGGCCGGCCAGCCTCACGCGCGTGGTCTTCGTAATGGTGTCGACTGTATGCGCGCGGCCGGCGCTGGGCGAGGCAACGCTGCCTGCCAATAAGGGCGATCATTCTTACCCTGGCGGCCGCTGTAGGAACTAGTTTGGAAGCTTTGGTCTTTGGACATTCTGTACCTTGGACAATATGATACGGACCAGACAGTGGAGGCGCCACCACTGCTACAGTGCTGGTAACAGCACCGGTCTGCCGTACCTGAAAGCAGCTACCGCCGCTGGTCCTCTCGCAGCACGCACTATCCACAAACGGCAACACGATTTGGCTGTTTATTACGGCACACACGCACAGTACAATGCATATCTTTCAACGTTACAGATGCGCTGACAGAGTTCCAAGACACTGCCACGAACTAATTCCTCCACACAACAAACACGCGCCGCCCCCGTGGTGGGGACAGTGTGCAGCACGCGCGACCTTGGCTGACAGCCTAAACACTCCGGCGCCGCGAGACGACGTCCATACCCGACATCACCGAGTGGCCGGCGCGACCCGCACCGCCACCCCAGCGGCGCTGGCCGTGCTGGCTTGGAGCGGCGCCCCAGCTTGCCGTTCGGCACCTCCCGACCAGCCGCGGGACGTCACCACCGCGGCCGTGCCGACACCGAACCCCGTGAAGCCCCGCCGAGGGAGCGTCCCCACGATAGACGAACCTCCTTCCGACCCACCCCCGCCCTAAATAGCGGCAGTGTGTGGCACCACTCACAGCAACCAGAGACGGGGGCACGGCCACCGATGGTGTCCAGTCACGGCACCCTGTCCACGGCCCCCGAACTCTGCTGTGTAGGGAAGCGCCTCGGCCGCCGTGTGACGCTCGGCCTGAAGCTCGTACTATGGCAGCAGGGAAATGCACCTCTCAAATGCAGCGGTGGCGGAGATAAATATGGACATTCACCGCACGGGAGATAAATATGGACACACATCGGGCGTAAAACTCTAGCACGAGAACCATCACGGTCACTCTTCCCGGCCGTGCCTATCACAACCGGCATAAGCATAAGCAATTGCAGTCGCCGACACTCGAACGCGACCTCATTTCCAGTCTGAGGGCACGAAACAGCTCCACTGGATACGGACAAAGTCTGCCAGATATGAATGCCGTCGTGACTCCTGCACAGGCGCCAGCGTTCACATCTGACGCGATCATCATGACCTAGAGCGCTGCGAGCCTGCGTACCAAGCGCCAAGGCGGACACAGCGGCGCCCCAGCAGGCACAGGTTCGTATTTCCTCCGCCAGGTGGCAGCCACGTGCCGTCTCCGACGCCGTCAACGGCGTTTCTCAAGCCACACCGTCCGTGCTTTGGTAGCGATTATGAACATTTCAGTACGCAACATCATCGCCGACACCGGTGCCTTCACCACAACCGCTCGCCTTTCGCGCTGCTCCTCACATCCTCGCAGGAACGCCGAGAGGACCCAGTCCTCGCGGCCTCCCGCAGCGCCTCCCTGCCGCCTACGCAGAGCCCGTCCGCATGCCCTCCCTTTCACGTGGCTGCAGGCAGCGCGTCTCGTCTGCCTCCCAGCCGGCGCCTCCCCCCCCCCCCCCAGCGCGCGAGCCGGTGCCGACATGCGGTATCACACGGCCTACACACGTGCTGATAATGCCCAGCCGCAGCCAGGCGGCGCTCTCTCACACCGCACCGAGCAGGCGCACGCCGCCATCTTCCACCGCGCACGAGAGGTGGTGGTACCCACCGCCATCCACATCCCACGCACAACGGCAGGGGGCGGCGCCCGGGCCGGGCCTCTGCTGCAGGCTATCCGGCGCTCGTCTGGAAGCCAAGCCGCTCGCGGAGGCAGTGGCAGCCCGCCCCGGCGGGTCAGGCGGCGATCAAGCCGTGTAACGGTACGGTCGGCCGGCGTCGGCGCCCAGAGCAGACAGCAGCACTGGGGCTTCGCTGCTCCCCATGCGCGGGAGCGGGCGGCGGCGCTGAGGCTTCGTTGCTCTAGCTATGGGGGAAGAGACGGCGCCGCTCACAGCAGCGTGCAGCGCGTGATTTTGGGCGGCGCCGGCTGCGGGCAGAGCACGGCACGGATGGCCTCGTCGAACACAGTCTTCAGCCCTTTCTGCGTGAGCGCCGAGCACTCTAGGTACTTCACGGCGCCGATCTCCTTCACCATCGCCAGGCCCTGCAGATGGGGTCAAACACGGGTCAGGCCAGGTCACACGGGTCAGGTAAGGTCACTCAGGTCAAGTAATATATCAGGTCCCACAGGTCAGGTATGGTCGGGTCAGATCACACGGGCCGGGTAACTCCCAGGTCAGGTCCCACAGGTCAAGCAACACCCAGGTCAGGTCACGCAGGTCAGGTAACGTCCAGGTCATGTCACACAGGTCAGGTAACGCTCAGGTCACACACCAGCCATGAACACCCCGCAGGCGAAGTCAGACAATACTCAGACGGCGCTGCGACCGGGTCGCATGGGTCACGCAGGGGCCGGGTCAGATCACAAAGGTCAGACCGGCATCCCACTGGCGACACGTACACAGCTGCCGGACCGCTGCCGCGGCCACAACGGCAGCGCCGTCACTCCGACCGCCCGATGCCCGTCTACGACAAGTCCGCCGTGGGACCAGTTTAAGAGGCCACGCGAACTCTGCACCCGGTCCAGCCGACACGGACCGGACGGCACGAGCGACGCCCGGAGACGGAGACATGCGACGGGACGCGAAGACCGCACACGAGGAGCCAGCGTAAACGACACGCCGGCGGCGCCGTCCTCAGCTATTCGGCGCTGGACCCCCGGGAGCGTGACCACGTGCCCAGCACTCCACCGCACCCCTGTCTCATAGATATCATTTGCGAATGTCAGAAGATACGACTGAATTCCGACAACTGCTGGTTTGGCCCACATCCAACGGCAGCACACACACACGGGAGCAGACTGCCAGAGTCCAAACCAGAAACAGCAAACGATACGTGTCACGGGGTGCATGGTACACGAGCGCGACCGCGCCCCGTCAGCGGGGCTTCACAACTGATCACGGCCACAACACACGGCTTAATAACCAGAGGCGACACCAAACCAGCCACAGGTCATGTCATGACGATGTCACGCCGTCCCGACGCGAACCGTTTCGGGCCCCCTGACCCTGGCCGCTGGGCCTCTGACCCTGACCCCTGGGCCCCTGACAGCGACACGACACCAGGGTGCAGTGCACGGCTCGACGGAGACAACCTCCTCCAGAAACTCACAGCATGCCATGCGCGACGGCGGTGTAGGCGACCTTCGGCCCCACCGCCGCGCACGTTACGGTCGGTTGCCACGAGGCCCGACCGTCGCGAAGGGATCTGGATCTGGCTAGCTGGATCTGGATAGCTGGATCTGGATAGCAAATGGACGACACACAAAACACAAGCCTCCACGCGGGCCCACACCAAGGCAGTGGGAGGCATGCCACACGCGTGCATCCCGTCTGGGTCTATCAATGTGCACAGAAGACCGAGGGCTCCATGGTTTCAGATCCGAGTTTCCTGACGCGCAGTCGAAAAGACACTCGATAAAAAGGGTGCGACACTCTGGGACTCCAGTTTGACACCGAACAAGCTGGAATACACAGCAGTCAGTGATAAAATACCACAATCTTGCCATAAGAAACCATGCGTGATATGCGATCGAGCTCCACTTCGTCACCACAACTAATCAAGACCAACACGAGAAAACGCCAGGCATGCGTCCAGTACCAGTAGCGCCACCTATGCCGCCTTTACCACGCCCGCCACGCCATCTATAGCAGACGGCAGGCGTGCCGTTCGGGTTTGCGCGGCACGGGGAACAGGACAGCCCGAATCGCCTCGTCAAAGACGTTCTTCAGGCCCTTCTGAGTGAGGGCCGAGCACTCGAGGTACTTGACAGCGCGCACGTCTCGCGCCATGTGCAGGCCCTGCCGACGCACCGGCCCATAATGCTTGAACGCAGGCGGCGGAGGCACATGCCCAGCCCCCAATTATCACCGGGAGGATCTCAATGAGCATAGGTGCTGGGCTCAACGTCAAACGCGCTGTTCAAATCACTGCTTATTTGTGATGCACAAGAATCAGTGGGGGGCCCTAGTAGGCAAGGCATCGGTTTCAACACCAAAGAGACTGTTGAATGAATGAAATGAATGACCAATGAATGGTGCATACTAACGTATACACCCAGCCATAGTATCGGTCCATCGACATCGAACTAGCGACTTGGACAAGATAAACTGAGAGAGATCTGCTTCGATCGACTTAATGCTACCTTGGCCACACTGAAAACGAACAAAAAAGAGTTTTAAAATAGTTCGTTCATACATGCCGTTTTTATCCGTCTTAGGGAAACCACCTTTACGGGAAACGCTAAAAGTGAGGGAAAAATCCATTTGATTCATTCAAGACCACAGTGACACCCAAGCCATCTTTCGTTTCCACCACTCCAAAATCGTCCAAAATCCAGCTCTAAGTCATTCTTCCCCAGTGTTGAAAAGTAAGTGCGCACACCCTGAGCACAGAGCTCAAGGACGTCGACGTCGCCAAATGTAGACCCAACACGAAATAAACAATCAAGTCGCGGTGTTCTACCATTGAGATTACAAGTGACACATACCGCAGTTTGGTATGACTTGAAACATCTTCCCGACGAAAACGCAATAACGAGAAAAGCCGAGTGACACGCGAGCAGCATTTCAGCATGCTTGAGCTATCGGTTTTACAAGACGATCTGCACATTTTACATTCATAACTGGAGAACATGAAAAGGATAGACGGTGCCGTGTTTCAAGAAACTTAGATTCCTTCCAACGCCAACTTCAGCACGGACACGGCGCGACGAAGCGGTCCTATCAAATAAGACGTACGAAAGTGCATATAATATAGTATTAATGGCACCGTACAAAAGCACGTGGATGAACGGTACTTCGACGAGATAACTGGCGTTGTCAGAAATAATGTTTGGTGTCTGTCGAACCAATGAGAATGGCGTGTTTCCCAAAATAAATCCATGTTTGCGATACACATAAACATAAACGATTTCGAAAAATGCGATGTTGTTTTACGAAACGCAAGAAATTGCGCGTGCCTCCGGTGCACTGAGCTGGGTTTTCAGTGACAAGGTTAAGTCACACCAAGAACTGTTCTGTCACCAAGAACTGTGAGCTGCGGCAGCGATCACGATCGACCAAATGCCTCCACCCCTCCCTCCATCCCATCCACCCATCTGGGGAGGCGGGGCCTTGACGACGGACCGCTGTGGTTGCGATCACCGCGTCGGTGCCTGAACGGCCGGCTCTGACAAGGCCGTGACGCCTCTCTTCAGACCGGGGCGGCACCGCTGGCTGGGCGCCCGAAAACAAACACGCCGCCGCCGGCCGCCCACCCGCACAACAGCTCAGCTCGGTCTGCAGCATAACGCCAGCGCTGTCGCCGTCAGATATCCGGAACGAGACAAACAATTCCCGAGCAGAGCGGTCGTGCAGCGCCAGCGGCGCCACGCGGCGAGTCAAAAGGACTTCGGCAAAGTGCGACGCGAAGGCTACAGTTAAACGCATGATTTGGGAAATGATTGAATAAATGCATGATTGATTGAATGAAAATAATTATTCAGGGAATGCACATCAAAACACCGGTTCATTTCTGGGACAACTGTGTCTCGTCGGCCGATAAGACGGAAGCCAGAACCACATGTGACGTCAAAAGGAGGCCTCGACTCGCGCGGCGGAAGCGAGACCTCCCCGCGTCCACACCACCTTGGGCACGCTGACGGGCCGCAGTGACGTCACAGCCGCCGGAGGCGTACCTGCGGGTAGCTGATGGGCGCCATCTTCTTATCCTTGAGCTTATCGATGGTCTGCTTGTCGTCGCGCAGGTCCAGCTTGGTGCCCACGAGGATGATGGGCGTGGCGGGACAGTGGTGGCGCACCTCCGGAAACCACTGCCGGGACCGCGCGAGCGCTCAGGCGCGCGAACGCTCCGGCCGCGGGAGGGCCGGCGGGGCGCGGGGCAGCACGGCGGCCGTGGGGCAGCAGCGAGCGGGGACGCTCGGGGACATCACAGGCCAGACAGCGCGGTGTCATGCGTGCCTCCCTGGGCTGGGTTGCTTTGCAGGCATGGAGTCTCAGACTGTCATCTGTCCGCAGACCGGTCTCCGACGCGCGGCGTCGGCAGTTTGACCAGAGCTAGACTGCGTCTAGCCCAAGTTGTTATGCTCGTAAGGCGATGACGCAGATCAGAGTCACGCGAAGCCATCGCCGCGACCTCTGGACAAAAGTACGCTCCAGCGAGCGCACAGAACACCGAGTGAAGCGCCGGCCCCTGAGTAGCAGCACGCCACCCGTTCATGAGTCGGCCTGCGAACGCCTCCCCACGGCTACACGCCACCCCCCCCCCCCCCCCCCCCCGGCGCCCCCTCCCCTCCAGCGCCCCTCCAGCCGTCAGTCGTTCGCACCTTAGCCCGCACGTTCTCGAACGAGGCGGGACTGACGAGCGAGAAGCAGATGAGGAAGACGTCCGTCTGCGGGTAGCTGAGCGGTCGCAGCCGGTCATAGTCTTCCTGACCGGCCGTGTCCCACAGGCCCAGGTTAATCGGCTTGCTGTCCACCATGACGTTCGCCGAGTAGTTGTCGAACCTGCCGGCAGGGCGGCGCCACGGTCACACCACGCGCGGAGCGACGAGTTTCGAGCGACGCGCGCACCGAGAATGACTCTCCCAGCGGTTGTCCAAATACGGAAACAGCTAAGGGAGTTGAAGAAAGCTATGCATATCTTTATCAAAACAAAGTTCCACCCTAGCCCAGTGGTACCTTCGGCAACAGCCCACAGATTGCTGCCGAAGCTACTCCTCGTTGGGGATTGCTGCCGACGATGGAAATAGCCCAAGTTTCAGCGTCTGGCTTTGCACGCTCCGACATCTGCGCAATCGGCAGCCACCGGATACGAGCCGCGAAAAAAACGCGCCGCATGCGGCGTCTGCCGCCTCGGCCGCCGGCGGGCCGACCGCAGCAGCGGGCGGCGGATAACAACTAGGCGAGCACGCAGCAGCCAGCAGGCCGGGAGGTCATCTAAAATTCGCTCAACTTGCAGCGGATGTACGAAGATTTATACGCACGCCTTGAGCAACGCACTGCCAAGGGTTTTTGCGGCAGATTCACGCAACGAACGGCATTTGGAATGCTGCGTGCTGCAGAGGTGGCCTTGAGCGATGTGTTGATGGTTGGGGATTTTACCAGCACATCGGCCGCTGGGGCCATTCCGCGTCGGACACACTCTGTTTTCCGCATCATCCTGCTAGTGAGACAAGTACATGACCCGGAAACCGGCGGTGGACATCAATTTCAGCGTCTGATGGGATTTTATTTCTGGATGTTTCGCATTAAAGGACGGCGGTGATCTGGGGTGACCAAAAATGCTCCCTCGCGGCAGACGCTGTGCGCATTCAACCAGACCACATCCAGCCACTAGCATTTCGCCGTATCTGTTGCATCTGAGACGTTTTTGGGCGCTATCTAAACGAAATATATGAGTAATTCACGTGTGGCCAATACGGATGCGGGCCAGTATGACCTCGTGTGGCCATTTCAGAAATGATGACATTCAGGCGGCCACAGATGGTTTCATACTTTTCAGTTTGAGCTCAAGGCCTTCCCGTCTTATACCAAGGGCAGCTGCCTGCGCGGACTGATGTGCCGTCTCACTGTCAGCAAAACCAACGTGGTTCAGGCTCCTGATCACAGCCTCGGTTCCCACTTCCTCGCGGCACGGCGAGCCTCCGCGAATGCAGCAACATGGGACGGGCGTCAGGCGGATGGGAGTTCTCAATTGATAAAACAGGGCTGAGCGAGCCCGTCAGGACTGCGGACTTCGAAAGGCTCAGTCGTAAGACACAATTACGGCGGCGCGAAACCGCGCCGATACGGGCCGCACCGGTGGCAGCCCGGGGATGCCTCCGCGGTACGTAGTGTTCAGCGACCGTCTGCTGTACGCGCCTGCGCACCCCTTAGCTTTCAGCTTCGAGCAGGGCAATGCGGTGAAAGGCGGTCTCAGTCAGGCCTCGACCGGACAGCAGTGAAAACATGAGCAAATTTGTCGTTATCATCTTGCAATAAATGCTACAATGGCCACCCTAACGAATATACTATCAAAATAACTACAACCGACGGCTCAACACTCCATCGAGACCATGTGAATGACTGTTTGAGATAGCGTCGTCAACCTTCCCGTCGCAGACACACGCCGTGCCACCAGTCTCGTCCCGCTCACACACACGCGTCACTCCTCCCTTCCCGGGCTCCAGCCATCAGCAGTCCATCCTCCCATCCCCGACATCGGCGGCCCGGGCGCCGACGCCGTGAGTCACAGCTCGCCCCGGTCACGAGGCCGTTCACGCGACGGCCGGGCCGGGTCGGCCGGCGCACGCGGCCTGAGTCAGCCGCTCGCGGGCCATGTTTGACAGACGGCCGGGCGCGGATGGAGGCGCGGCCCGGCTGCAGGCCAGGCACCGCTCGCGCGGGCCGCCGCCGCCGTCGGCCCGGCCGAGCAGCGTCAGGCGGCCGGCCGGCCCTGCTCAACATCACACGTGAAAGGGGGGGGGGGGCGCCTCGACGAAACGCGGAAAGGAGTTACTTTGGCACGTGCGTTCGTGGCACGGGCAAGGCTGGATTGCTGGATGCAAGCGACGTCCGTGTCTGGGAGCGATGCCCGTGCTCGAGCTCTGCGATCACGTCCGTGTCTGGGAGCGATGCCCGTGCCCGACCTCTGCGACCAACCACGTCCTTGTCTGGGAGGGATGCCCATGCCCGCGCTCTGTAACCACATCCGAGCCGTGTCCTCATCAGGGGACGCACCGATCTCTATGGAGCGCGGCGAACTTCCAGCTCCCCCTCCCGCCGCCGACCGCCCCTCGCCGCCGGGCGGTCGAGACCCACACTACAGCGGGACCCAGGGAGAGCAGCGACTCGCGGCCGGCGCTATCTGCCGCACCCGGCGACGACTTCCGGCGAGCGCGGCGTGGCCGTACCGCCGCAGCGCGCCCGGCAGACACCCGCCGGGCCGCTTTTGTGTCGCTGTTGTCTCTGTAACTTGCGGTCTGAGCTTCCCGCAGCGGAAGTGCGGCCAGCCGGGCTTGCCGGCGTGGGGACGCGGTACGGAGATTCCTTTCGCAGTGCAGAGAAATGAAAGGAGGGAATGCTGCGAGACAAACTGCAAAACATGGGTAGATGGTAGAAACCGAGCCCAGACATCGACGACCAGGCCTTGCACAGACACAAGACCAGCTCATTTTAAAGGTTGATAGAACGCACATTCGTAGTCGCAAGTGCAGCTTGGTGAGTGCAGCTAATTACGCGGGCTCGATCGAAAACCATCAACACCTTTGTCCTGGGACGGTTTTTGGGACTGTCAGCAGATTTCGACAGCCAGAGTAAATCCAAACATGACACTATACGTACGGTGCAGACAAGTGCATCGCCCTTTTACGCGGCATTTTTGCGCGATCCCAACGCTATCCGATCGATAAGTGCGCCGGTCATTGATCCGGAACCACTCAATGCCGTCTTGTAGAAATCGACCCCCACTTCAACAGGCCTTGGCCTAACTCAAGAGAGACTGCACAATCCAGACCAAACAGGCGCCTGGCTAAGTTGGTTGTGACCGACATCCCCTATAAACAGCTGCGTGTTGAGCAATACTTCGGTCACGGTCAACGAAACCGTGGATCATTGTAAAGCATCCAGTTTCGTCGACTGAAATTACCGGGCCCGGAAGACCCAAAGCCGGCCAATTATGATACTGCCAAGCGGTGTGATTTGTGAACTAGTGCGCAACGCTACATCGAAAAATCCCTGCCCACTTAACTCGTCCCATAGACTGACTGCACAGAGCATCCGGCCCATGTTTACGCATTCCCGAAGTGTCTTGCTCAATTACGTTGGACTTTGGAATGTTAATGGTGATAGGGCTGTCGATTATCGTGGTGATAATCGATAGCCCCAGCTTCTGTTATCACCCGGCTGACGTCACAATCGGTGAGGCGTCTAACCGGTTCGTAAAAATGCTTAAATCGTTCGGACCTGCCACCTGAAGCAAACCAGCCTCAGGCTGTGGTCCCTTTGACGTGACCTTGAATGACCCGAGCTCCGATTCTCGGACATAGGCGTCTTCAGCATTCGTTGACAGGCGCTGCGAATTTCCCGTTTTTGGTACCGCTTGTTCCAAAGTAATGCTAACAAAATCAAGCCGAATGCAGTATTAAATACATTTCGAAGGTGATGGGCACCACACTGCAGACGGCATGAAAAGGACACTCTTGAGCTCGGTTCAAATCTTGGTAATTATTTCACTGCAGTGTCCCCGGAACTTGTAAAAGGTGAAAGATTTACGCCAAATCAAACATTTGATTTCGACCACTGGACTTCATAAATCATATAACAGCTTTACTACATGAAATAATCAACCTTCAACATGCAAAAAGGTACTGCTTAAGGTCATATCGCAAACATTAGGTGGGACATATGATGAGAATGTTTCACGAAACATGTAGCACTTTTGACTTCAATCCTGTACACATCGAAACAAAGGTTTATTTTCTACAAAGCCAATCATGGAGACATAAATGTTCCCTGTCAAAAGTACCATAGACGTAAGATATAAAAACCTTTGAGGGTTTAAACATTTAAGCCTCAGTTAACTACATAAAATCGTGGATTAATGTGCAAGAATACCACAACAGGGCCAAAACGCTCACATAAAACATTTGGGTTCCGGAAATACCACACCAATTAGCGCGACACCTCTCGATAAGTTTAAGTACTGCAAGTGAGTCGGTCTATCCGCTACGATGGCAATTTCACACAGCCAGTTCCTTTGACGTGATCCAAACGTACCATAACGCAGTCAAACGATGACGTATTAAAGAACATGCCGGCTAAACAGTGAAATGTTGTTGTCTTTGAAAGCATACCAATAGCCATACGTGATTTATGTCAGCATTTCTCATGCTTCAAATGTAGAACATCCTTTAGAAAAGAGAATAGCGCGCCGAGCACAGCCACCCGTGACGTGGAGAGTACTCACACAGTCGGTATGTATTCCCCTGGGAAGGCATTGGTGGTGTAGCTGATAAGAAGGCACGTTTTTCCCACCGCGCTGAAAAGGATACGGGACGTGGTCAGGTGCACACTGACGCAATACTCCCACCCGGCAGTCAGGACACAAAAACATCGCGCAGCGTCAACAGGGCTCAGCATGACACGCGCCTTATGGCAGGGCCGGGTACCCCCCCCCCCCCCGCCCCGCCTGTTCTCATGAGGAATTCAAATGCTGAAAATGAAACCACCTTCACTGTGCCAAGAAGTCCTGGTTAAACAAAGGCATCGAACAGTCCCCTCCTGAACATCGGCGCTGTCTTCAAACGTTGCATATTCTCACATCCCAATGATCGCCTGCTGTTTCACTTAAGCGGTATCTCCTGGGATATTGAACTTTATGTGACTAATGACTCATAATGTCTAGGAGCCAGCAGCTTAAGCCATTCTTTGCTGATGTCTAGATGTTCCCTGTTCATGCCCGGATACATTCTAGCTCGCCGACACTCCCATGCAGCGCAAATTATTTTGGATGTCATGGCATGAGGTTGTCAGTATGAGGTTCACTGTTGCTTTATTTGAGCGCATTGAGATATCTCTGTCCCAGTTATGAGATTAAGGGGCTTATCAGCCATGGCAGTGTACTCCTGAGTTCAATGGTGACACTTTTCAATCATCCCTGAGTTTTGTCAGTCAGTGGCCCGGATTTTTGCCGGGCAGTTGGCCAACTCAATCTGGCATGCTTTCAGCCCACAGGCCAAGCTTTGTTGCTGTAGGAGCTTGGTCTTTACAATTGAAGTGATTTTCTATGGTCATGTCAACACATCACGAGCCCATGTTTCAAGCAAACATGATGTTGCACAGGTAATTTCTGGCAAAAATGCTTCAAAAACATTTACCATGCAAAATAATCTTAAAAGTTAGCATCATTTGGCTTTGCTGAGTTTGGCAGATGCCAGCAAAAAGTTCAGCAGGTGTCACTGGAAAAAGGTGGCAGTGGATGAATATTTTGCAAACTGGGCCATGGCCCCAAAAGCCGGCTTCGCTACACTGCTGCCCCCAGCTGAAGAAATATTTCAGTTTTGACTTTGCTTTTATGGTGTAAAGACCACACAGAATTTTTATATGATCACTGTTCACAGAAAATGACAGTCAATGGAATTTAGCAGGCCTGATGGTACATTCACTGAAAGAGGAAAGCACAAACTCATTCAGACCATGATGGATGAACATGATTTGTGAACAGCCACCAGACATGGTGAGTGCAAGCAGTGTACATTACCAACTAGAAAATTGGTGGATATCTGCCATGCTAGCCTCAGAATTCATAGTTCAAACGGTCATACACAATAAGCACGGCAAACATTAGTATTGGTGCGGTTAAAGCAGTCACTAGACCTTTACAGATGTATATATCTTACCCATCGCCCACGACGACGCATTTGATGGCCTGCATCGCAGCCCGGTGTGTTGCCTATCTGAACCGCAATGGACCAACTCAGCAACAAAACAACAATCAACAATGTGACACTCCCTTACGGGCGTACCCTGCACTGCGCCAGGCGCCACCCCCCACCAATCAGGGCACAACTGACCGGCGTGCCGCCAATGCACTGAAGCAAATGCTGATGATATAACATGATTACCCTCGCCATCATACTGTTTTGAGGTTTGCAGGTATGACGCCACAAATAGCTTTAAGTGTCTGTAATCTAAATTGATATCAGTGTTTAAAATCTGTTAAATAAAAATATGTTTACATAAAACAACCTGGTTGTGTAGGGTAACACTCGAATATACGGCAAGATGATTAAGTATATTCTAATTACGTCATTTTTACTGTCCTGGGATCTCAGAAAAATGGAAATTCGCCGCAGATGCGTTGTATTTGTACATTGCTTTGCGACGTTTGCGGTTGGGTGAAAAAAGCTAGGACGATTGCGATCAGAAGTGAGATGTCTTAAGCAAGGCCGTTTTCAGAAGCGTTGAGAATCCCCAAGTGTTCAGTATCCGTCGTCTGCGTTGTGTGGTGAGTGTCTGGTCAGAACTATCACAACCGTCAGCCATGCTGGCTGGTAGCAGCACGAAATTTCCCCTGGCGGTGGTCTCTGTCTGTCATTGTGTTAACGTGATTGAAGTTGCATGAAATTTGTGTTTTATGATCGCGTTGCAGTAACATTTCCACACTATAACCATAGTTCAGCGAATGTCTTTGAACATTCTGTGTATTTGAATAAAGCAGTTCAAGTTTATTGAAAAAATCTGGATGTCATGGTTGTCATGCAATCTGGAACAAAGTCATAATCTGTTGTGCTGACCTGTTTTCCTTTAGTTTCATTGAGTTAAGTGGACAAATTGGCCTAGCTATTATCATTGAGCTATGCTTAATAAGTTCAACCACCTTTAAGTGAAAGTCTTCAAAATGTGTGCTTCATGTTGATATTGCATAGGCACACATAATGAAGATCAGAGCATTTTTGGGTACTGATTGTTAGTGTGGCTCCAACAGTGTTATCATTTCATCTCCATCCATACTAGTTGAAAAATTATAGTTAACACCCTTATTTTTCCTTAAATAGTGTTGTTGAATGGTTAGAGGACAAATTCTGCACCATTAAAAAGAGTGAAACATTTAAGAATTTCTTAATCACCTTCACTGGACTGATGGATCTGATGCAGTCCACAGCTTAACACACTGGTTGTACCCTGCTCATTATTTACCTAAATATGGCAGTTGTGTGTGGTAATCATCAGCTAGGCTGAATCTGACCATGGATTGCAGACAAGGACTTTAACTGAAAATGCATCAGGAGTTTCTACGTGCCTTGGAACAGAGATTAACAGCTCAGGTGACAGAGAGGCATCTGGGTACAGAGCAAATTAGACTTGTAGTAATCTAGGCCTTGTCATCATGTTATGGATAGGCTATATATACTTGATATTCCTAAGGCTGTTATTGTAAGCTTCATTTGGAGCAAAAAACCAACCAAAATGTCCAAAAGTCAAAGACTAGTACCAATCAGCAGCAGTGGAGAACACAGCCAGAAGTTGGGGTGCAAAGTGAAAATAAGTTTTTTGGTGGAAAATAAGTTATTTCCTATGGCAGTGAAGGCTGCTGCTGATAGTTTCATGTCTCCCATATGACACTACCCATTCTTCATAATCATTTGGCTGCCAGTACCCCATGGTGGCACAATCTTACACAGCAACAACTACTTAAAACCACTACCCTCATCTAGAATAGCATTGGGGTCCAAAGCATGAGTCCAGCTGTTGGGAAGGACCTGATAATGGGTGCGAAATGACCCTAGAAGTCGACACGCCCTAAAACCCCTATCATCATCATCATCAAGGACCTGATATGCTTTGCAGAACTGACAGGTGCCCAAGCAGCTGGTCTGGACAACCTTTATGTTGTAATTGTAATGTGCCATCTATGAAATGTGGTTGTTTGTGGGACTCTGTATCATATGTGTGGACAGTTGACTCATGCTGTAATGTCATTCAAAGCTTTCTCTCATTTCAGCTGCAGCAGAGATGGCGGCTCGCTGTAAGTAACCACAGAGCAATCTAAACATGTTAAAGGAAACTCAGTGATGGGCAATTTCTTCTGTTTCACAGTTTGATGTGCACATGTTCTTCAATGTGTTTGGATGGTTTAGGTTATAGTTTGTGTATTTATTATATTGTGCACATCATATGAAGCTTTTATAGTGCTATGTCCCTTCTGCTGCTAAAGCGCATACATGTGTATATATTCTAGCATATGAAGGTGTCCTTAATACCCTGCTTGACAGGTCATATGTTGTCCATTTCAGTGGGCGCCCTCATTAAGCGGAGTTGGAATGAGATTCCAGAGGTTGTAGGATCTGGTGTGATGGCGTTTGTAGGTGAGTGGCTGGTTCAGTTGCCTGCTAATTATAGCAATGTGGTGGGCCAACTTGTCTATCAAGGGTGTTGATATTTTAGAGTCAAAGTCCAAGGTATGTATTAAATAGTATAAAATCTAAATAAAATATCAGATGATAAAACCAACCAAGCATAAAGTTGGCATATTAGATAACCTGGATGCACCCAGCATGGATTCAATGATAACGAGAGCCCAAAAATTGTTTGTCCGTCGTGTGGCCTTTTGCTGTTGGGGGGCCTTTTACAGCCTCAAGCCAAGGCATAGCTTCCGACTCCTAGCCGAGGGATAGCTTCCGACCGTTTCAGGCCTTCAGATGGGGGGCCTCCTTATCCTCGCGGTTCTTCCGACCGTCCAAGAGCCATTCGACGAGCAGACAACATAACACACTTGGGGATTTCCTCTGGGGCCTCCCCTCGTCTTATCCCTCACCACATCCTTATGCCACGCCACTGACACCTAGGCAGTACAGTGACGGCCCCTGCCCCACCCCGCTCGGCAGGCTTCAGCGCCGGTCTGTACGCCGCCTGGGGCTACCACCGGGACGAGATGTGGAACGCCGAACACCGCTACTACTACACAGGTGCGGCCCGGCCCCGGTCAGCGCGCCGAGCGGTGTCGGTGCTGTAGGCGGTGCTGCGTGGCTGATCCTCTGCTATGTCGGTGTTGTACTGTACTGTGCTGTGCTGTGTCGGTGCTGCGCTGTGCTGTGTCGGTGCCGCGCTGGGTCGTGCTGTGCCATGCTGTGTCAGTGCCGTCGTGTGCTGTGCTTTGTGGGTACTGTGCTGTGTCGGCGCTATGCTGTACTGTATCGGTGCTGTGCTGTGCTGTGCTGTGTCGGTGCTTTGTCGGTGCTGTGTTGTATCAGTGTTGTGATGCCGGCGCTGGGAGTTACACGTGGCGGGCTCGAGTTTGTTGAGTTTTGACGCCAGTCCGGTTTTTAGCTTCACTGGATTCGCTTTGGTTTTGTGGGGGGGGGGGAGGGGGGGACCTGGTTGGAATATGTACGGCCGTTTATTGTGTTGCGGTTCGTTTTGTATGTTCCATCGGTAACGGTTCGTAGTTCTTTGCTCGCGTAGCGCCTTTTGTGTGTGTGTGTGTCAGTGAGGGGGGGGGGGAGGGGGTTGTGTCTGCGTGCATGCAACGTGCGACCTTATCATTGTGCGTCGTAGGGGTGGGGCCTTGGGAGTGGGGGAGGGGGCTCCCTCAAGATCACCCTGAGGCCGTTGATAGCATTGCTTAATTGTGCGAAATTTGGTGGTACTGGAGGCCAGTCTCTAAACGGCCGCAGTTCTGAGGTGCTTAAACAGGAGCAGCTCTTCACATACCTTTTTTGTTCATTGTTTTCCATGACGCGGGGCTTGCATATATATGTCCCGAAACGCGACTTATTAGTTGTGAGCCGCGCGGAAAAATGACAAAAAAAAAACAGTTATCCGCCCACGTAGACTCATTCTCATTAGCACTCTCAACTCGATATCATTCTCAACCATTCACCCCACCGCTGATCAGTTTCAACAGCTGAAACTTCTTTGCACTTGACACCGGTGTAGTTCGTTAGAATTCGTGGTAGAATTCGAGTCAAACCGGTGTCGTACCACCCGCCCGCCACATTGTAACTCGCTAATGTGGACCGTTACCAAACATCGCTCTCCACATCACGCACGTGCGCCCCGTCGGCGGAGCTGCCGGGCCGCTTCCCCGTCGCTGACTCGCGCCCCGTGTCCCCAGTGTACCGGCACGATGACCCCAAGGCGGCCAAGCTTCGGCCGCCGCACCGTTACGACCTCAAGTACGGACTGTGACGAGCACGGAGGACTTAGTGCGCGCGTGGCCAGCGATCTGTAAATACATGTGACGTAGTGCGGGTGGCGTTGTTCTGGTGTGATCTGTATGTGAAATAGTGTGGTGGACGGGCGCGAGATGTCGCGGCCCGCGACGCGGCGTGTTGATGCCGGAAGAGACGGCGGAAACGGAAACGGCGACGGAAACGGGAATGAGGACGGGAGCGGGGACCGGAATTACCCCGGGAACGTCCAATCATCTGGCGAGAATTCCTCTGGGATTATGCCAAGGCGGCGAAGAAGACGACGCGATGGCGCAAACGAGGCCAAAATTGGTGGTGACCGCAGTATCAAACCAGCATTGTCAATGCTGCGTATCTTTCGTCCTCCCTGTGTCGACCCAACTCCTATTTCCTATCTCCAACTCCGACTCCTAACTCCAACGCGCGCGTAAGCGTGCCGTCAGCTCTCCCGCGTGAGCGAGGCAGCGCGCCGACGTGCTGGTATGCGGTGTGACGCTGGAGGCTGATACATTACGCACCCGTCCCCGAAAAAGGCGCTCGATTCTCGATTTATTAGCGCACTTTCATAAACACGAAGACACCCGCTTCTCAGGCTCGGCCTATAGCACACGGAGTCCAGCATGGCTCCCCTCAGATCCACCCCACGCGTGCGTCTACTCGATCACAGGTCCTGCTTCTCAAAGCGCCCGTCTGCCACACGGTTGTCCTCAGCACGTCGCACTTCGCACCACGCGCACTGCACATCCGGGCAGTCCGCGTCCTTGCATGACATCAGCTGTCTAATGGGGCATGCGTAGAGCGTGAAGGAGGTTACAAGACATGGACACGGTTTAATCACCTGTTACATGCGGGTGCGCTAGAAGGCAACAGAAACGGCAAATGGGGGTTGTTTAATACTAAGTGGGAAAATCAAGTTGACTGTTATTGCAAGTCGCTGAATGGTACGCAACATTGGGCGAGCGCTGACAAGCACGGCGATTGATGGTCTGAAGGGGAATCGAATCATTGACCTCAGCTGAGCTGAAATCGCGATATTTTTACCCTCTCTATATTTCGCTTTGGCCGCTGCATTCCGCCTATCCATTTATAGGTGTTCGCGCCAACTGTTTTAACGGGCAATTAAGCACCTAATAATGCGTCGGGAATATCGATTTGCCCTCTCTTCAGGATGGGATGTTATAAATATTGGGCAGACGTACGCCGTTAGGAATACCAGGCGCAGTATTGCGGACAGAGCCCTGATCAATTTCGATGTCCCTCAGCGATTTAAAACATTTGGCACCTTCAAGGAGTGGTAAGGTACCCTGCACACATAATCCCAGTTTTCTTTTTTACGCAACGGCCAAACACGAGCTCCTAAGTGGCTAAAGGGCTGCCCACAAACGTTCTGGGAATACCATCGTTCCCACAACACCGTTTGTGTTGCAGGGCGTGTGGATCACGCGTTTTCTAGGCGTCGAAAGGAGCAGTTTGTTAAACGGCTTGTGACCGTGGCAATAATCTGATACTTGGCGAGTTTCTATGCCTAGGCGGAAACCTGGCATCAGCACGTGCTGAGAGTGGCTTGGCACCACCGGCCACGTGCCGCGGGGTTGGGCCATCGGTCACCGCCAGGCACACTGCAACCAATCAATGCACTGGCAATGCATTTACCTGTGGTGCGTGCGTGATAGGTACGCGCACACCACAGGTAAATATGGCACGCCCAATATTGCGTGCTATGTTTTCTAGGCGTCGAAAGAAACAGTCTGTTAAGCGGTTTGTAGCCGCGACAATAATCCAGTATTTGGCGAACTTCTAGGTCTAGGCGGAAGTCTGGTACCAGTGTGTCACCGCAAGCTCCAGTCACACTATGCAACCGATCAATACACTGGCGATGCATTCAACAGCAGTGTGCGTATGATGGGGGGTAAGACCACACTGCCTCAGCACTCTTCACTCAGTTTGTCGTCCTGCTTTAGCACATGTGCTAACATCTGCACTGCCAGCATATCACGATCATGTTGAGCCAGAATGTCGCGTGCGCTCTATACCAGTGCCCCCTACCGCAGCAGTCTCGGCCAGTGGGACTGGGGTGCCTGCTACACGTGCAGACTGAAGTGTTCGTCGTCACTGCACGCTAAAAAAAACCGCGGCGTACGCTTCGTCGTATTGCTAGCCGTCCTTGATGTAGCCTGCAGGTACCTGCATTTGCATCAATCCCAGGGGGACTAGCGCGACATCTGTTTTACGCGATTGTCTCGCCTTTTGTTTTGCTGAGCTTAATTCATGCACAACCGTGGCTTGCTTGCACTGATTCTCAAGGAAATGTACGATTAGGTGCATGGTTCAGGTGCTGGCTTTTGAGCAGCGGTCTAACTCATTCAGGCCATTCACGCACACCGCAAACAAAAGAGCGGAAGCCTGCGGACCACACCCAGCCTGGGCCCTGCCCTCCGCCTGTCCCTGATGTCTCGATCCCAGAGTCCAGCTCCCCTCCGCTGCGCCCGGAAGCCTCTGCCGGCTGACTGGCGGGGCCTCTGCTGGCTGGGGGCCTCCTCTCTGATCAGTGCGCGGCTGGGGGCCTCCTCTCTGATCAGTGCGCGGCTGCGCGCGCCGCAGGCAGCGCTGTCTCCGGCAGGCGTGGGCTCGGACCCGGTGAACGAGCTCGAACAGGCCGGAGCCATGCTTCGCTCGGTCTGTGCGCCTTCTGTCGGGAGGCCGTGATCCGCTGCTTCCACCTGGGTTACTTCCGAAACCTCGGGCGAAGGCTGCAGCTGCGGTTGGCCGCTGTCTACCGATCTGACGTGCGGTCACTGTCTACCGAACCGGTCTTTAGACTACAGGCGACACGGGCGACAAAGGGACATTCCTCTAGTTATGTTTCTACCGGCCGGAGTGGAGACGTTGTAGGTCGGAGTTCCACCTCTACAGGCCAGGAGTCTCACCACTCCAGATCACAGGCGCACCGCTCGTCGTTGGCAGAACCACCTCCAACAGTTGGAGGCTTCGCTGCCACTGGTGTTTCATTACTACAGGCAGGGAGCGGCTTGGTTTCAGGTTCGAGTTCCACCACTCCGATGTAGCGCTGCTGCAGGCAGAAGTTTCACCGCTGCGCTCTACAGCATTGTCCCCATATAAACCACGGCGGCAGCTGGGGTTCCTGGCCGGAGCTCCATCCGTTCGGATCGGAGTTCCGTCTATCCGAGTCGGAGTTCCACGTCTCCGGATATGAGTTTCATCTATCCGGATCGGTATTCCACCTCTCCGGATCGGAGTTCCATCTATGCGGGTCGGGGTTCCACCTCTCCGGACACGAGTTCCATCTATCCGAATCGGAATTCCGCCTCTCCGGGTCAGAGTTCCGGAGCTACAGACTGGAGTGCAGACTCTCGCTGATCTCCTGCAGGCGCGCCTCGCGCTGCTGCGAGAGGCCCGGCTCCATGCTGGCCGTGATGAACTCCTCGGCGATCTCGCGGTCCAGACCTGTGTAGCTGGACTCGATCTCGGCGTCGGTCGGGCCGACGGGCGCGGCGGCCGCCTGGCGGCGCTGCCGGCGCCGTTCCCGCCGCTCGCGGTGTCCCGCTGGCGGCGCCTGGCGGCAAATGGGTCAAGCAGGCCGTTACGTCGGCGGCGGGCGAAGCGTAGGACCCCATGGTGGGCGCAGAGTTGGGGGTGAACTGCATCGATGCAAGTTGCAAGCCGTTTCATGACCGATAGCATGCCACTCAGAAGAAATGTGAGAGGTGATTCAAGAGCGAGAACAATCCAGGGGCGTTCCAGAAGTAGTGAGCAGCACCACAGCGTCAGGAGGTGAACAGTGCGACACGTTTTTGCCCAGCATCAGCTCACTGCAACATCTTGAGTGCCGGCCTTATGTGTGTCACTTGCCGCATGGCCCGTAAATAAGTGCGTCGTGTGCATAGCACGTCTTTGCACTGTGCAGTGGATGCGATGCGTCACACATTTGCATATACGCCCTCTGTAATGCTTCCGCCCCGTGTGTGCCCTCCTCTGTGCCCGTCTCGCCGCCCCCGTCGCGCCCGCCGGACTTGCCTGCTCGCTCCGGACCCGCTGGTGGACGGGCACGCGCCCCAGCTCGCCGCCAGGGCCCGAGCCGGCCGTCGGCGGCCGCGCGTACATGGCGCCAGGCGGCAGCACCGGCGGCGGCACCGGCACCCACGTGTGCAGGCTGGTCAGGTGGGAGCCCGGCGGCGGCGGCACCTGCGGAGGCCGAGCGGCGCCGGTCAGCCGACGGCAGCGAACGCCAGCCGAGGTCAGGTCAAATACGGACGGCGCTGCTACAGGTCGGATGCGGAGACACTGACACGGCTGCCTCCTTAAAGTCAGCAAGGTTCTACGAGCTTAAGTCCCACTAGCCCATGACGATAGTGTCCAGTGGATAACGCGATTAATCTCACTCCCCCATCTAACACCTCGCATGCGCTTCTACAGCAACGGCGCATCGCGTAGTTGCGTGTGTTGCGTCCACTGGCTGTCGCCGCGCAATCAGGTAGCCAACCTATCCTGAATACAGAGGGAACACAGATCGTAGACCGGAAAACAAAACTCTCTAGCGCAGAGTTCAACAAACTGCACATGGAAGCGACGAGAGAGGCATAAAACTGCTTTGCCTCCTTAACTATCCATAGCGAGCATGCCGTCGCCGCGGCAGCTAGTTCCACCCAACGCTCATAGATGGCGCTCCTTGCGCCGCCACCGGCCTGCCGAACCTGTTGCACGTAGACGGCGTCGGCGCGCTGCTGCCCGAGCCAGCGCCAGAGCCAGTCGGAGGCGCCAGCGCCGGCGGCGCGGCGCGGCCCAGGGCTGGCACCGCCGGCGCAGACCTCGCGCGAGCAGATGGCGACGGAGAAGAGCGAGAACAGGATGTCCAGCACGGCCAGGCCGAGCAGCACGGCGCTGAAGATGACTGCCGGACGCCGGATCACCACGTCGCCGAGGAACGCCAGCGGCTCGCCCGTCTCCTGCCGAAAAGCAGCCCGGCTGCGACGTCGCTGGTGCCCACTCGGACCGGGGTGACGTCACTACTGCACGATGGACGGGATGACGTCACAGGTGTCCGCACAGCAGGGGTGACGTTATCGGTGTTCGCTTCAGCGAGGTGACGTCACTGGTGCCCGCTCGGACGGGAGCTTTGAAGCTGTTTGAGAACAATCTCACACCCATTGGCTGATTTCGGTGAACTATCCAGCCCGGATGTCTTACCCTGCCATTCCAACCGTTTTGATACCTCCTAACTCATACAAGTCCTGGCCCTGTCCCGTGCTCCGTTCACTGATGACAACCGGTGTTTTCCTCACCCGCTGCGCACTAAATGCCTTTTCCAGACCGGCGAGATCTAAAACGAAAATGGTCGCGGTCTAATGACGATTGACGGGGCGTGAGTGTACCTGACAAGCGCGCCAAATCGCTAATGGATACACCGGGGCAGTGAAATGGTCCACTCGCTGTCCCGCCACGCCTTGACGCTGTTCGAACGGGGCATAAATACTGGAGTCTGAAGCGCGCTTTGTAGGGATTAAATTGCGAAATTTATGGTTGTAAACAAAGTATCATCTCGCGTTCACCTGGGCAAGCACCCTCACCTATGTCCAGGGACGTAGCCCGGGGGAGGGGGGGGGGGGGGGGGCGGCAACGTGGTCATGCCCCCGTCGCCCGAGCCAAAAATTTGCGCACGATAGGGGCCGATATAGCAGACACTTGTTTGAAATATCAGGATTTCGGGAGAATTTGACATTCGGCCACACCTCTCATTTTTTGTGATGCGTCATACGATACGTTTTGCCTACGTCACAGTATCTAGCCATGTTACTGTTTCAGCGGCCACGTGCCTTCGCACGCCCCCTGCCAAGCATCGGAGAAACCACTGCGGAGAAGAGCAATCGCTACCAACACTTAACGTAAAGGATAAGCATCCCAGAGGCTCAGCCGAAATAATCCGACCAAAGACCACGCGACAGGCTTATTTGCGCACCTATCACGCGGAGCGATGAGCGGTCATGGAGCCCCTAAAATGTCCCAGAATCCGATTCCAGGATCCCCTTAACATGGAGCCCTATGGGGTTACGGATCCACCCATGACATCCAAGCACATCTCCACCGCCGGGGAGGACAGAACGGAGGCTATCTCCGCAGCGCGAGATGCCGAAACTCACACTATCGACGTAGATGGCGCGTGAGCTGGCGTCATCACGCACGAGGCCGATGGCTGAGAAGATGACCACCAAGCCAGACACGGCCAGAGACACGATTGACATGGCCATGAAGCTCGCCTGAGGGGCGCCAGAGGGTCGGTCAGTAGTGCACAGCCAGACACACTCCCGGGCAGGGGTGCGCCGCTGTCGCGGCCCTGCATGCACCAACATGTGCACCGCAACGCAACGAATTTGGACTGTTTTGCAAACCAAACGACCGATGTGCGTCACCAAGCGGATTTGAAAGTGACTTATTACAAACATCACGAACACAAAACTGGCTTGTTGGAAAGCCGAAAATCGATTTTGCACTGTTGGTGGGAAGATGCAAGAAAATTGTTCAATGCTAATCGTAATAATACAAACAACAAATATGATTCAAACATAATTACATGTATAGTAGCGGGACCTCAATACCAGACCAGGGCATATCATGTGCTTCCCACATCATCTATAAAGCCATTCGAGCATCAGAACATGGCGGACGCGAACAGACGAACAGGATCGGGACCATATCGCAGAACACGTACATGGTCGGCGTACCAGATACAAGTACGGTCGGCGTGACCTACCAGATAGAAGTAGGCGCAGGGCCGGCGGGAGGAGATGATGCCCAGGGCGCCGGACACGATGACGCAGATGCCGCCCCAGAGACCGCCGCCCAGGTAGGCTTGTGAGGACCCCTGCAGCAGCGCCAGCACGCCGAACACCAGCAGCAGACAGCCGACCAGCAGCTGGGGAGCAGCGGACACGTGAGAACAGCGGCAGCAAGACAGCAGACCGCCAGCAGCAGACAGCCGGGCCGCAGCTGGTGAGCTTGCAGCACATAGCTGTGCATAACAACAGGGTGGTACCGGTCCAGAACGCCCAACTCCAGCAGTGCTTCTGGCGTTGGTATCTGGTGATGTCTGCTCAGACAACCGAGCAGTAGCCGTGGAAACGGCATTAGACAGCTGGGCTCAACAGCAGCAAGGAAACAGCTGCAAGCCAGCACCAACACTGGACTCGCGGCGTCTCATGTTTCCCCCGCCCCCACGGCGGGGGAAACATTAGACGTGCCGCGTCAGTTACCAAGATATCGGAGCTTTCAGTAGCCCTCGACTTGCGTAAGAGAGAGAGAGAGAGAGAGAGAGAGAGAGAGAGAGAGAGAGAGAGAGAGAGAGAGAGAGAGAGAGAGCTGGCGCATCGGATAATGGCATTAGTAACGGAGATCCTAAGCTGCAGTCGGCTGGGCAATCACTTATTAAGCTTCGAGAGGAAAGGTTCCGAGTTCGATCCTCAATCGCTGCATGTTTCTACACTCGATCGTGACTGCGTGCGAGACAGGCCACGCCAGCAATGACGTTCACAGCGACAAATGTGCGAGGTCCACAAAACACACTACCAAGATCTCCGGTAACCAGCATGGCTAAACACCGATTCCGTTCACGGGTGCTGCGTTACGACTTTGCGAATGTTATAACTGCGTTATGACCTCCAGGGTATCCTCGATGCTTTCTCGAGCGTTTTCAAGTATTTCTACGTAAATACGTTTTATTTGAGCCATCGTGTTCAGTGCGATTCCTCAAAAAAGAGACATACACGGATGGCACTTTGCCCAATCCAACTGCTATCCATGAAGATATGCCCGTACCCGGCCGCTACCCAGTTCTTCTTTGTTGTCCCCACCCATTGTCCATCTGCTTACATTCTTCCAGCGCTTTATTTCTAAGCTATGGGGAAATCTTAAAAAGCCGACTTCCAAACTTCATCTTCTACGCCAATAATCGCAAAAGTCGTGTCAATAAAACCCAGCATGACAAATAAGCGCAAGCAATAGCGTTGCATGGCATTTCTTAAAGTATCTGTCCGAAGCCTTACCGACAACCAAACCCATACTCATGATTTTCCCCGCGTTTGCACCCTAGCCAACCCGTTACCCATTCCACATTCGCACCCATCGGTTCACGCAACCCGTGAATTCCTCCACTCCATGCAACGGCAAACCACAAATCTTGTAGCAGCGCCGGTAATAGAAAGACGTTCCATAAAAGAAACTATCCCTTTCTCCGTGACGTAAGAACAGCGTGAAACATTGGGCGAACGCTGCAGTGCATCACCTGGGACCCCATAAATTCCAACCAATTGGTAACAGCCTGACCATCGCCCAAGTCACTAACACGTGCGCCAGCCGCGGCGCATTGATCCCAGTTACGCCCACCTTCTCCGGAGTGCCCTGGGCGACTATGCGTGCTACAGGTAACCGGTTCGTAATTCATGCGATAATTGCAGGCGTTGGCGGCGATGTCCGGCCCTCGGCGATGGAGGCTGACGCCCATCCATCACGGGTATTTTCTAGTGGAGCCACCGGCGATCGGTGAGGTTTGTTTGGACTGATGCAGAGGGAATGGACCCACGTGCTGTGTGATGCGCCCAATCGCCTAAGATGAGCACCGCTGAGTTGACAACGGCGACTCCACCTTTACACTGTGCCGTCACCCGTCACATCATGGCTCAGAGATACTGAAATGACGAAGGCTTGCACTGTGCCGTCACCCGTCGCATTATGACTCAGAAATGCTGAAGTGACGAAGGCTTGCACTGTGCCGTCACCCGTCACATCATGGCTCAGAGATGCTGAAGTGACAAAGGCTTGCACTGTGCCGTCACCCGTCACATCATGACTCAGAGATGCTGAAGTGACGAAGACGACTCCAGCCTTGCATTGTGCCGTCACCTGTTACATCGCAGCTGAGCGTGAATGATCTGGCCTTGACCCAGTGTCTTTCCATTGCCATCTCAATGCTACTGCATCATTAAGATCAGTGATGCCTCCTAACTCGTTCAGAAGTGTCTCCCATTTCAAACTCGTCATTTCAGGCGGACGCCACCTTTTATGTCTTCACTGCGACAGTGTACTCGCAACGCCCACTAATCTATGCGATCGAGCAACCAAGATGCTGTCATGTCGGCACCAGCAACCGACGGTCCCTGGCGGCCACCAGAACTAACCTTGCCCATGCCCAAGCTGAAGGCCAGCTTCGCCGGGTACAGCGAGCCCTTGGACGTGACGTTGGACTCCTGACTGGACTGGTAGATGAGCAGGTCGTTCAGGCCCGACCCGGCCTTGTGCGGCCGTGACGTCATCATGGTGAACTTGTGACGTCAGCGCGGGGAAGAGCTTGTGCCGTCAGAAGGACCGGTGTTCAGGACATCGCCCCACGGCGAGGCCGGACTGAAATAAGAGAAATGTAGAGATTAAACATCGGCGCAGAAGTCGGCGAATATTAACGAAACCATACATTTCGCGCTTTCCGCGCCTTGCACAGCTCAGTGGTCGCAGATCAGACCGGTTGCCATGGTGATTCAGCACACGTACTGCGTTTCTTCCCCGTGGTCTGTCACAGGTACAATAATGTTCAGCTGAAAGGGGAGACACAATTTTCACCTGATTCACAGCTTTCGGGTGCGTAGCGCCCGACACAAACATGAAAATTCGTGACACAAACACTTTCCAAAAGCGTTTTCGCGCCCGAGAGCGCTTCATCATTCAAAGCACGTTTTTATGGACCTGAAAGGCAGGAAGTCACAAGCCAAGCACTCTGCCAATAGTTCTGTTTTCACCCGTGTCGTCACAGGGAACAGCGTCTGGCGATCCGACCGCAACGCAGAGAGCGGAACCGGGCGTGCCCCCCCCCCCCCCCCCCCCTCCTCGCTTGCCCAGAGTCGACCGCAGAACCACCTAGCACTCGCCCGCTCGATGGCCGGGGTCAGTGCACTCCTTGCGCTATCCAGATATTCACGAGGATGTTCCAGAGAATGACCACGGAGTCGTGGCGATGCTGAGATCAAGGAAGCACAGGTGGGACATGAGGATCCGTTGGGCCGGTCCCCATCACTTCTTGCGAAAGTTGAATGTCTATATAGCATTACAGCATAGGGAGCAAACTCCTGCAAAAAGCACCTGCCAGTGCATCAGGATGATGATGATGATTTGGGCTTTGGGGCACACCGACTAGGTTGGTTATATGGCACCGATGCATCAGGAGATCATGTCGGAATATTCTACACATTTCACTAAGACAACAATATTCGGTTCGCTTAATTCCCTCATATGAGCAAGAAAGGCCTTATGCAATTATTTTCTTGTCATTTTCAGTAAGCTCTCCTTGACCACCCACTTCTATTCCAGGAGTCGTCGCACAACCAGTACCTTCCGATACACCGAGGGTCGGATATTTTCGACACCACAACACCTACGGCTCACTTCCTTCTAACACAAACGTCACACGAAATTCAGTGACGCGTTTCCTGTGACGGTCGATTTGCTGGAGACCAAATAACGGGATCGCTAGGCGCGACGATCTAAACACTGCCCACAGGCTCCAATGGACGCCGTTCTGGCACGGCGGCTTCATTCGTTCATTGCCCGTGTGATCCAGCAGTGCGCACCTATCTCTTACTCGCCTATTTAGCGCATTTTGTGGTCGTCGATAAGTGTACATCATCACAAAATGGTCGCAGGCGCGTTGGGGGTTCGGGACCAGCCGAACTGTTTAAACCGAAAAAAAGGGAGACCGAAAACCGAAAGCGCGTCGTTTGATCATCCACCATGTGTGATCGTGTTTCAGTTTAGTGCTGATGCAGGCACGTTTATGCCGGCTGATTGGGACCCAAGTGATAAACAACTGTGACACTATTAGTTGTTACACCAATTTTAGGTATTAAGAGTCAAAATCATTTACGATGTGCGATAATCATAGACATCGTCGACAGCAAATGGCGCTGTTAACCAGCTCTGTGGTACTAAACGGATAAACCATAACCCCCGCATTCATCCTAGATGGTGGTGAACCCTAGATTTCGAATTTAAATAATATATCAGCAGTTTCCAAAAAACATGGCAGATAGCGTATGTATCTGCACAAAGTTTGTTAGGACACATGAGATTCAGCATGGGTATTAAACAAAGCACGATACTGTGACTCAAGCATAGAAGGAAGCAAATGCTGTTCGGAGCACCCTCGAGCTTTTTACGTGAAGTGGTTTTGGAATTCAAAGTTACGCAACCTATGCAGACGGTTTGCGTAAAAAGTGGATGAGCACCTCAGCAAAAGGCGCCACATGTCCTTTCGACCACTCAGAGGTGCCTGCTCGCTCCGTTAGTGGGCACCACGCGGGGATGGTACACGCGGGTCAAACGCATGCTGCCGTGAGCTGACGAAACAGCTGTCGACGCAACGCTTTTGAGAACAGAAGCGACGCTTTTGAGAACAAAAGCAACGCTTTTGAGAACAGAAGCGCAAAATGGGCGCCATGTGACCAATGCAGTCGGCACGTCCTGAAATCCAAATGATAATCATTATCGACAAAAGCGCATGCATGTTAACGACCCCAGGGTATGCGTGGTCGGGGGCTCAGGCAGGCTGGCGCTTCAGGGACGTGAGGTTGAGGATCGTCCTTCAAGGGTCTCGATCTCATCTCAAACATACAGCTGAGCAATGCCAACCACCAGCTGGTACTCTTGGCTTCCATCTCAAATCCCTACAAAGAAATCTGGCAAACGCGTGCAAAAGCAAACAAGCAAAACAAAAACCCAGCGGAACAAAAACAACAAGACGGAGGAAGTGTATTTATGGCGAGCGACCAGTTTCAAGTTTCTACGGCTCTTCGTCCAACATAACCTAATGACAACATAAAGCGGGCCAAATCTTGGGACGAATCAGCAGACTGGGTTACTGTATAAGCCCATCAACGCTTGACAAGTGAGACAGGGTCCCTGCCTTCTCCCTACCCAACTTATTTTTACAACGCTACACCCTGTTGCGACTGCTGTGTTCTCTGCTCAGCCTCCCAATCTTCGATTATTTTATGGTTTCCGTTTCAATCATTGCTGTCATACGTGACAACTCATCTGCAGCCACATTCAGCATTCGTTTTGTTCAAATAGTTAACAGATACCAGCCTGGTTCGGAGAACTGGCGCTGTTTCTATGAATCTGCCGGTGGCAGGGTGGTCCGGGATCACCGCAAATTATTGTTTCATTGGTCGGATGGCTCCACTGCTGATGATGATGTCTGAATAAATGGGTAGCCGGGGTTATATTCACTCATTGGTCTTTTGACGATGCTGAGCATCCACGCGACGCTGATGGCGCCAAGGCGATTCGGCAGGTCGGTGGTCCCATGGTCCATCACCCGACAGCAGACTCGGCGGTCTTGACGGTCTCAGCGGTCTTGGCGGTCTCAGCAGTCTCGGCGGTCTTGGCGGTCTCAGCGGTCTTGGCGGTCTCAGCAGTCTCGGCGGTCTCGAGTTCACACGGACGTGTCCGCGATCCGCGATCCGTGGTCCCATCCCGCGCAGCCCCTCCGCCGGCCCGTTCCCGCCCTCTCCGCCGGCCGCGCGCGCCCGGCCCCGGCCGCGTTCCTGGCGTGTTTTCTTGCCGCTCTCACTTTCCCGACGCCGCGGGACGCGGAGGCTGCGCGGAGGCGCCGTGTTTTGCAATCGGTCCCCCGGCGTCTGCCGCCCCGTCCGGTTGCGCCACGGGCCCGGCGGTCGCGACGCCGCACCGCCTGAGGCTTCCCGGGGTAGCTGACCCTTGACCTGGTCGTCACGACGCCTCTTAACGGCCTGGCCCAGCACAAGAGCGCGCTGTGGGATCTCGCCAGCGAATGAATGGAGAATGAATGGGCCTGCCGCGGCGGAACGGTGTCCAAACAGTGGCCTATGGACATCGTTCAGATGGTCGCACCGGGTGATTCCGTTAGCCTCGGCGTGGGCCAACAGTTGCGGGAGGAGAATCTGATGCAATTAGCCCGCTGCGGCCACTCCACTCGCAACACATGGCATCGCCACCACGGGGCGGCACGCGGGACCAGGAAGCGTTCCACGGCCGGCGCGTCTGACGTGGAAGTCGTTAAATGGGATAAAGAGGAGGATCTCCCCCACACAGATGCCATTGAAACACTCCACTTAGGTGGCTCCTAACGCCCCCGCTTTGTTAGCCCCGGCGACAAAGAGAGGAACGCTGGACGGGCAGAGCCCTCAGTGACCGGACTACTGCCGCCCTTTGTTTGCAGGCACGCCTGATTATTAGCCGTGGCCCGTCAGCCACACGGCCGGTGGCTATCCTGACGCGATAGGACGTCCTGACGTGGCTGGATCTCCTAACGTGGCAGGGTCTCCTGGCGTTGCAGGATCACCTGACGTGGCAGAATCTCCTGACGTGACAGGATCGTGGCAAGATCTCCTACGTGACGTGGCAAGATCTCCTAGCGTGGCAGAACCTCCTGATGTGGCCAGATCTTCGGACTTTTAGGAATTTTTCAACGAGGCGAGATTTTGTCACTGGGCAGGATTTCTTGGCATGGCAGGACGTCCTACCACAGCGGGATCTCCTGGCACGACAGGACCCGCTGACGAGGCGGGATCTCCTCGCGTGACAGGACATCACATTGCCGAGGCTCGTGTCGTAACAGGATCTCCTGAAATAACGAGATTTCGAATCGCGCTGGACTCAGCACGAGTTTGGCTCGTCTGGTTCAGCTCTACGCCCCGGCCCCTCCGGGAGGGGGTGACGTCACCTTCCCTCCGGCAGGTGACGTCACCTACCGATATTGGCCGGCGGCATTCCGGCTGACGCGAATGCGCTCCCGTCCGACCTCATGCCAGAGCCGGGTGACCGCAGATCTCTGACGAGACCTCCCTTCGGGTCCGCATCACCACTCGGGGACCCTATGGGTGGCCTCTAGGGGTAGTCGAAAGGTCGCGATGGTAGCTGAGGTCTAGAGTTGCCTCTAGGGGCGCCCCTCCTCGGACCGATCTTCTCCGAAACATCTGAATTAGTTTCAAAGAGCCCCTCTACACCCTTTTCTAGAGCACCTCTATCCAAAGCAATATGCCTCAGAGGAGCCTCTCGCTCTGGAACAATCTCTATTAGAGCCACTGTCTCTCTGCAGCATGACATTCCGAGAGCGAGAGAGAAAGAGAAAGAGAAAGAGAGAGACAGAGAGAGAGAGAGAGAGAGAGAGAGAGAGAGAGAGAGAGAGAGGAGAGAGAGAGAGAGAGAGAGAGAGAGAGAGAGAGAGAGAGAGAGGGGGAGAGAGAGAGTCACATCTGGGGGAGCGCGAGACTCCATTCGTGCATGGCTCCGTCGCGAGCTCTCTAATCTCTCTTATGCAAGCGGCGTACTAGCGTATGCAAACTTGCGGAGCTTTCAGGTGTCACTGGGAAGAT